TAATAGGTTGTTTTTGTTGCAACGTTTGGTTGAAACACATACACAGAGAGTCTAGATCGGGTTCATCACTTAACTTCTTTACGATATAATCCCTATTAGTGAAAATTATAAATAAGATTTAGTCCTATTAGTTCATCAACTGATAAATTAAAATCTGGGCTGTTAAATTAAAGTAATTCTCTAACGTTACACTGTGATATATACCAATCACGAGATTCCAAATTTTAGAAAAATAAGGGCTTTATTGAATCTTATACAAAGATTAACTACACACAGCTCTACTTTAGCCGAATACTACTTCTAAAGACTTCTAGAACGAACTAACAGAATAATCTAAAGTTGCATGCTTTTATACTTTCCGTAGCATTCGCAGCTACAATCCGCATGGCAACCTTTTACCTTATTTTACACATAGTTAAATTATTCTTAGTAACACTATTCTACTGCGGACCATTATTAATCCAATATGGATACGACTACAGTACTTACGTAGACATTATTCACACCAGCCAAAGTACAATGAATTAACCATATTCTAATATATGATTTACAGTTCTATTTTTACCTATAACCTTATTAGTAACTCAACAGCTTACTGTATATAGTCATCTGTACTCTAGCATAGAGTCTATACCACTACAGTCTATAGTTATAGCTACCAGATATCTCTTAGGATAAATATCTACCGTACATTATACTAAACATGGCTAACAGTCTACAATCACAATACTAAGTTACATTACATACACATAATGATCAACCCTGCACTTGGCTTCCAAAATAACATTTCTTACGTCTAGCAGGGAAGACCAAACTTTTTATTCCATGATGAGAAGAATTCAAAGCAAATAAAATAAGCCGATTAATTTTCTTATACTCTAGTAATAAAATTATTCAACTTAATTATACAGAACTCTATCTTGCTCATTTCTACGATATTCTACTCAAGAATTAGAAATCATGCTTTGTATGTTTATTAACGATAGCCCTTATAAGAAAATTTCTAATCGATATCGTAAATTGTATATTGCAATATTACCATTTCAACACGCCAGCAGCATTTCATTAGTACATTTTACAATGTTAATCATCGTTATTAGCCAATTACATTCCTATTTTTCCTAATTGAATGCGATAATTGGATAGCAATTGTATAGAAGTTCATGAAATGTTTTAGTTACTCAGCTGTTGTTTCTTTGCTGTACGATATAGTCTATACTTTTCGTGCACTCTTAGAATAAAACTCTTTAAGCTAAACAATCTCCCAGCCACTCATAGTACTTGTGAGCCAGTAATTAGTCTAACTCTCGTTATTCCTCCTCCTTAGTTTGCAAAAGTCTTTCGGTATCTAGTAAGGTAGTTTAGGGAATGACAAAAAAAAGTTTGTGACAGTACAGAATTTATTAGGTTAAACATATTATTCTACGTTATCCAGTTTCTTTACTGCATAGCATTAGAATACTTTTTGTAATATAGGCTATTTCTATACCTAATATGGAATACCCACTTGATAAATCGTCTCCCAATGTTAGCTGAAAATGGCAGTTTATTCCCTAATGTTATTGCTGAATATTACAGTAACAAACTTAGATAGCATAATCTATCTATATATATGAACAATGTCATTCATATACACAGCTAGATCTTAGGCTAAACTCTTCTATTATATTCTCACTTAAAACTTGTCACAAATAAATGTTGTGATCAACTATACCGTCTACTAGATTACTTATTCGATGCTCCACTACAACTGGAAATCTGATGAGTTGATACTTCTCTAGTGTACCACAAGGTACTATACTTTCGACGTATAAATAGAAGTAAAAACTCATAAAACTAATCTTACAACAAGCCGCTTATTATACTTGTGAGAAAGTTGTTAGTCTTACTTACAGTATCTCTCCGTAGTTAGTTGGAGTGGCTAAGTAGCTAGTAAGTTAGTTGATCACTCACATTAGAAGAGAGTAGACAGCAGGATTACTCCTGTGAGTGACAACTAGCTACTGTTCCACAAGAATAGGACTGTTCTAAAAGAGTAGTTTATTAGTAGAGTAGCCGTATACTGTTCAGTACACTTAATAATAACGAACTGTCACACTGGACTTTTGCTCGTCCTTTTATAGCCTTCCAGAAAAATTATTGTGAAGATATAATTATTTTACCCTTATAAGATTTACATTATTATAATAACACTAGAACATTCTACGACTAAAAGTAAATAAAGTACCTTTGACACCATTGGTCTCATACGGACTGCTGCCGTCATCTCACTTCTTATTATCGAGCTATCGAGGCCTTACTAAAGAACTCGTTTCTATACTTTCAAAACGCACAACTACAGTAGTAAACTAAAATGACTACCACCAATCTCATCGAACACACTTGCGGTACATAACGTTCTAACTATCTAACTTGTGTTAGATTAAATACTAAACTGCATAAATCGAAATGTAGCCGTAACCGCTTTCATGCATTACGTTACTTTTTAAGCTCATTATAAAAATAGTTTATTGGTTCAGTTGATATGGTAAAGTTTATGATTAAAATGCTAGATTTGATAATTAATCAATTTCCTGTCTTGTTTATTACTTAAGAAAGGCAAATGCATCGGCACCTTCTTAAGTATCGAAAGCTATTTTTAAGAGGAAGTAATATTGAGATCAAATATTAGTTCGTGGTAGTTGAATAAGAGAGGAATCTAGCATAATTAAAATTGCATATGAGTAATAAGTTTAATAAGTTTACCGATGGAAGAGTTATATTAGGAATGGTTAAGTTGAAAATGCACGGTATACTTTGTTAAAAATAAAGAAGGAACTAGGGCTATTACGCTAAAGGATGATGAAGAAATTAAAGCCATTAATAAGATGATTTCTATACAAATGGGAACAATTTGCGTAAAATACAGTTCTAATAAAAGGTTTTGTTTTTCAGGCTGTAATTGATTTTATGTATTATTCGAAGCGAAACGTGCGCTCAAAGTATTAAAATATTTTAGATTAATAATATTTCAACGGTTATACAAGGCATTCCTTATGTTACCTTCCTTGAAGAAATTAAATCGATCATAGTTTATCAATGCGCTTCACTCACTGTAATACCATCTAGCGAATAGAATAAACCTTTACAGTTACCATTACAATTCTAAGATAGGAATTAGCGAGATGTAGTCATAATTTTACAATAATTTACTGTCTAATCATTGTTCTATATTTACTTTGCAGTGCTACACGATAACTAATATATGGATGGTATCGCTTATTTAATAATAACAAGTACACGTAATAATAACGGCAGTCTAATTTCATTAAAGACTAAATTGCTGTTCGTTGCTCGATATATTTAATTTAAATTGAGATTTACCACAAACTAACTTTCGAATAAATTGGCGTAAAGAAAGAGTTGTTAAGTTCAATTCTTTTGACACTCGTTATACATAAAATATCAGCGTGGCTGTGATTCGGTAATATGAGTCAATTCGTGACTATTTCTAAGCAAAATGTCAGTTTACGACAATAACTGTAGTACAGCCAGTATATTAAATCATCACGCGTATGGTTTACAGTTCTTTAAAAATTAAAGGAAACTCGAATATATTAATGCGAATTAAGTTATTCATGAATTGTTGCTAAAAATTTTATTCATTTCATTTCCATGGAAGTTGGACACTGTGTACACTAAAAACCCTCATATACGTCTCTAGTGTACACTATACAGTAATGGTTGAACTCTGTACAAGCAAAGATTTAGCCGTGATGCAAAGTTAATTTCATAACCTAAACACAATAGTGGTGACTCAGTTGAAAATAATGACTTAAAATAACTGAATGAAATTTATTCAATGATTTAGGCATTTAATAGCATCAATTTATAAATATTAATAAAGTTGAAAATTGATCATTTTAGCTGATATTTAAATAAAAAGATATCCAACAAAATTGTACTAATGATCACCAATTTGATTCTCATAGCGAACAAATATTGGGCAAAATTTAATAACCTAATATAAATAACGTAAAATTCAGTCTCCGCCAGGCCATGGTATTCATTATTGTAATATTTGCTGATAGTGAAAAGCGGCTATAACAGCAAACAATATTACATCTATGATTTCTATCAACTGTATGTACGTGTTGAAATGACAATAATATTAGTATCCTGTTTTCTTCCAATTTTATGACTCACAATAGAAAGATTCCCGATTAAATTGATGAAAAATTCACTTCTAAACTTTAAACATTCAAGATGTATTGATAAAACTTAAATAAAGTAAAAGCATCAGCATCCTGTTTTTCTTTCTAACTCATAATTTGTAATAACGGATAATTGGGAGCGCACAAAGATCAATACAATAAATAATTAAAAATGTCATAATTGGTATCAACTAATTATACCACCGTATATATATTGAGAAAATTGTAGTTTAACTATGTCCTTTCTAAGATTTTAAAACAGCCTGAAAACATTATGTATTTTAATATACACTATGACGTCTTTTCCAGTAATTAAATTGCGAAGACTACACAAAACTATTATCATTTCTAATGACACTAACAATTTATTATGAATAATAAATTAAGTTACTCACAACTGTTAGTTTGCAGTTACTAATTTCGATTCCATTGTCAAAGACTATTACAATAACCTAAGAGGTTTTTCATAGAATATGATTTATTCCATTTACGTTCAAAATTAATAATTCTCCTTAATCATCTAGCCAATACAGAACTACCGGTTGAAAAACAATAATGTCATTTTCTTTCTTTAGCTTTAGGAAGGCATTTTAATAGTTATGTCAATATTCGATGATTCTTTATATAGCACTAGATGAATTTTCAATAATAGTCTAAATTTAAGTCTCTTAATCATATTTCATAAGTCGAGACGATAGCCATATCTGTTAAGGTTCGGCAAGCACAAGGGTAAAGCTTTGGACGAGAAAACTATTAACCAACTCAAAATCGACGAGAAAGTCTTCTATTCTTAATGATATTACCATCATGAATACGACATCTTGTAATAGCGGTATTTGCCAAAATTTGACTAATGCTACAATTCCTCCAAATCAATCACTTTTTGGCCCAACATTCATCGTCTTCCTTCTTGGCACCACGGTTGGCATCATCCCTAATATAATCATTTTTGCCGGTATCTATCGAAAAAGATCGCTACATAAACCTACATATTATTTTATAGCTAATTTAGCGATCTGCGATCTTGTTTTAAGCATAGCAACACTCTTCAATGCAGCTTTGAATGTGATAGCCATAAGCGCTAGATTTGAAATTCATACACATAGCATCTTATGTAAATTTTTAACTTCTTTCCCCGTGTACTGGTCCTACACCGCTTCTATAGAAACACTAATTTTTATCTGCTTTGAGCGTTATATGGCTGTTTTTAAGCCCATGATGAAGTTGACCAACAAAAAATCAAAGCATTTATGCTTTATTGCATGGATAATTTCTTTAATAATTTCATTTCCAACTATCATTACCACAAGAACCAATAACTTGCGGCCTAGATATTGTGTACCATTTGTAGAATATACAGCCTGGACAGGCATCTTCAATATGACGCTATTCATTCTGCAATTTTTTTTGCCAGCTTTAATAATGATTACCGTCTATTCGTTAATACTTCATCGATTGTATAAGAAAAATATGGCCAATCAAACTGAATCTGATAGAAGTAAAAAGAAAAAGCGTAGAACTATCTACATGTTGATTATTACTACTATTATTTTTTTAGCATTCTCAGCGCCCTGGTCATTAACATTAGCTATCGTAGCTATTACTGGTAAACTACCTTATCAATTAGCGGAATATTCCCAATATCCGACATTGCAATTTATAATTACATTGCGAAGGTTAATGTTGCCTTTTACTTCGTTATATAATCCTTTCGTGTACTGCATATTTCAGAAACAAATTAGGCAACTACTTTTCCCTTGTACTTGTTGCAATATTAAAAAGAAACTTAGTGTAAATGTAGAGCCAACTTCACAATCTAGAACGGATCTTAAATCCCACGAGATCTCTAAAGGAGCAGCTCTATGTTCTACGCAATATTCACAGTCATACCAAGTTGGAGCAGCTAAAAATTATTTGGCAACCTAAAAGGGTACTTAAAGTTTATTGGCATCAAGAAAATGATAGCCCCTCATCTATGGCTGGAGTTAGGTATTGATACTCTCTTGCCGCAGTTTAGTTTACTTGTACATCCTTCGCTGCATTTTAAGACAAAATTTATCAGATGTGTTACTAGAAAGACAGATAATGATTAATTATAATACAATTTACGATCTTATGTGCACGATCAAGACAATCAAGGAGATATTTTCAATCTCACTGGTAGTGAAGTATTCCTACCAGCTGAATTAAAAGTCAAATATTTATATTTGCCACCAACATGTATTAATTCTCGTAGCATAATGCGCCAGCGATATTTCTATGGTCCGTTTGTTTCTATAACTACTTATTAAGATCAATACTCCCGGAAAATTTTTTAATTTTTCCTTAAACTTCAAGGCAGAAACAATCGAAACATCTCCTTTCGCGTAGGTAATAAATTATCGCACTCTCTTTATTTTAAAAAGCAAGTCGCTTTTCTGTCTTATATTCTATTTGTATTCGCGATCAGCAACATTATGTATATATACATAGAATTTAATACAAGTAAACAATATCGGCTGTCGTGTATTCCAAGATCTAAATTTTTACAACTTTGTGCTCTTCTTTTAAATATGCTCGAACACGTGTATTACTAGAGATTTATTAATTAATCACGATTAAAACACGATCTAACCTTTAATTTCTGTTATAAATTAGGTATCTGACCAATTCTTTTAGTGATCTGTCACCTTTAATAGTATCATCTTAAACTTGCAATAGATTTATCTTCATAAAGCAAAACTAATTCCATAAATAGTGAAATTTAATAGCTAATAAATTTTAGGATGTAATAGCCTGACAATTGTCAACGAAATTATCAACCTCATAAACTACCCTTATAGCCAATCTAGGTCAAGAAGTTTTGATACTGGAGGAGTTTTAATTTGCCTGTGATTACTTCATGGTTTATGTGTAATTTTATTTATCCCATGAGCATTTTAGCAGCTTAATGCTTAATGACATCTAATTTTAAAGCTTTATTTAATAAAGAATTCGATATTGGTAGCCAAGTAAATAAATATAGTGCAACATCCTAGCAACAGGATATCTGTCTACCGAAAGTAACGTAGATTCAATAGTCTCAGATGTAAAGTATCAGCTGAGCGTTTTTCTATTTTAGCACTAGTATTTAATGCCCAATATTCAAATATAACTATTCAATACCTTTGAAAGCGTAATTTTTTTCTTTTTGCAAAGTGAAAATATTTATATGTCTTCTAGCTGTAATTGTCAACACAGTGGTATTATAGAAAAATAACAATAAACAGACTTTTAGTGATAAGTTTAAAAGATACTTTTTTTCATTATCATGCCCATAAGACAGACATCAATTTAATACCAACGCTGGTTTCAATTATCAGGCGCCGTAAGAAGTTAAGGTTAATAAATGAGATATCATGTTACCAATTAATTGGCTAATTAATCTCACAAATATGGTTGTAAATCGAAAGCGTTCTGGTAAATAAACTGTATCTTCCTGCAATAAAACTAAAATAATTTTAAAGTAAAGTTTATCCAATTTCTTGAGTGAATAAGCATATTCCATCATGAAATGATTGAATAGTTTATCCATTAATTTTAAAATCAAATCCTTACTTATTTAAGCTTGTCAAATTGTATTAAAATTAAATTTTTAGAAGCACTAGACTAAAGTAGATTACAATAACGCGATGAATAAGCTTATTATTTAATCCACGCTATAATACAGGCCTAATCAGAAATTTGTAATAAATAGCTGCTTTCGCGTATTAATTATGTAACGAAATGTGAAATGTAGAGATCAAGCTACAAAACTTTGAACAAACTTTGATTCTGATTTCGTGGCTCTTTGGTCAACTTGACGAAACTTTGAAACTAAATAAAAAAATTGGAGAAACAGCCGAGCAAGAATTTATGAAAAATGTGAGAGAGAAAGATCAACAAACTTTCAGATACTTAATTCTAAGTATCGTAAGTGAAAAATAAAATGACAGGACTAAAACTGTTTACAACCAAACAACCTAACAAAAAGAAGAACGTTTTCACTTAAAAAAGTTTGACCACGAAGACCTTTAAAACTAAACATTTACCAACCAATCACTCTTAAAATCGACTTTAGAAAATTACATTGCACAATTTAAGAAAACAAAAATTATTCAAAGTTCAGATACAATTTACTTAATGATGACATTATAAAATACTATAAAGCTAACAAACTAACTATAAAATACATCAAGCTTCACTTCTAACATAATTCCTAATCATTAAACATTGAAAAAGTTTAAAAATTAAACTTTGAACATCAAAATTAACCATAAAAATAAAAATTTAACTGCTTAACAATCAACACGATCGCTACTATTAGCTATCTTATTTACTACTTTCTCATCTAAAATTTCCTAATATAACTTTTGCTATTTGAACCGCAATTCAGTCCTAAAAATCTGACATTCTAAAAATCATGTAATTACTTATTAAAAATTTTATATGGCAGATATAACTACTTTTCTGACGTTAGTATTGACAGTTGATGTTTTAACACGAAGTTGTACGGTAACTATACGATTATGCCATACGTTAGAGTAATGTACGTTACCGTCATGTTATAAATTCCCTTTCTCTATAGATAGGGTTTTGCGACTGAGTCCAATTCATTTACAATCTCGATAGACTATCAAACATCCTTACTTTAAATTAAGCGATTGCTCTTAGATCATTTCTACAGTAATCTTTATAAACCTTGTAAAACAGTAAAGAAGAAAGGATGGTGACATCGCGATTTGGCAGAGTAAAACTTAAAGATACTATCATTTTCTAGGTAATTTCTATAGTGAAGTAATAATAGCCTCATACTAATAGCTGTAATAGATTCTGCTTTTAGTCCTTTACTACAATCAGTCTTGAAAAATTAATACAAAAAGTAATTCAATGACATCTTTGTTCTATTTCGTATTCCACTTATTTTTACAGCTTAAGTCACTCTCCTCATTAGTTAGAAACATACTTATATAACTCTAGACAAATGAATACATTTCTTACAATTGCAGATCTATGAATTTGCTTGACTATGTCAAGCAAGTATGTCACACTATATCTCTGGCATGATTAGAGCACATATTTAAAATTTACTGTTACTCAAAGCAATAACGAATAAACATTCACCTACTGTCACAAAACAGCTTTGCAACAAGATAACGCAATATACGATCAATAAGTCAATTTCTTGAACCACGTATCAAGGAACGATATCTGCACTATCACAAACACTTTTGCTCTACTAGCAGACTACACAAAGACTTAAACGCCTCGTATTTTACGTTAAACACTAAGTTGGACAATTCTTCTTTATTTCACGATATACTGCATTTATATACTATTCCTCAATAGTTCATGAGTCATAGTTAATACAATTAACATTAGAATCATTTACTGAATTAGATATTAATTTTAGCTACTGCTCCCTTAATGCAGACAACAGTATTTACGAACATAGACATATAATGACTAATACAGAATAGTCAGATTACGATATGTCCTATCACGGAACATTTCCATGATAATTTACAGTCTACCATAAGTAAATTACAATCACAATGATTCGAACTGTAAGTTGATGATTTGCATTCCCTATTATAACTATTAATTTCAGTATGTGTATAAGTGTCACTGTCATAAAAAGTCAGTGCTATATTAAAATACAGTATATCCAAATTAGAAGTTAACTAAATAAGTATAGTCTAATAGAATTATCCTAACATTGATATTTCTACTGTAATACAGTATATAACACTGTAACACCTACGTAATCAATAGATTTCCAGTTATATATTAAGCGAAGGCTAATTTTAAGATTCTTCTTTTATTAAAATAAATTGTAACATTAATTGAACCAGTTTTTTATCTATTTGAACATAATAGATAAAGTAGCAGTGTATAAAGAGGTAGATTTAGAATTAAAGATAACTACCTTCCATATTGATCACAGATGCAATTTCATTATATTATATGAGAATTTAACAAAACCCAATGACTTTAGATTCTAATTGTGAACATTTCTTACTTATGGATAGATTACTAATTTAATAACATTTTAGAGGCCTGTGTGATCACTTACTAAAACAATTTAGATTGCATTAAATGTAAAAACCATTTAGTAGCGATTAAATTAGCAAGATCTCCAAGTGTGGTAAGTATTGGTGTTATTCGATAGTAAAGATAAGTACTGGAGTTAGCAAAGCTTGGTTTCAAAGGTAGTCGCAAGTGAAAGTTCCTTTATGGTTAATTATACATGGCAGAAAATTCTCTCAAGCTTGTATTAATAATTTCAGAATTACCCTATAAATTAACTATAAGTTTCTCTTTACCCATCTAAATTGCATTACAAGTTGGATTACTTCAAAAGATAAACAAACACGGTCGTTTATCAAACAATTTATTTTATTTATAATCGCTCTAGAGTACCAGATCGATATTAATGAAATTGCCGCCAACAAATACATAAGTACAAAAGATTGAAAGTCAGATTAATGAAATGAGACCATTTCTAAATCATTCTCAGCCCCAAGGAAGACTTTTTCTAAGGTAAGGTAACAGCCTAATACCAGCAGCTAAACTATTATATATGTCTGGTAATATCGAATTAGCTATTTCAGCAAATAACTATGTAAAATCTGAGCAAATTACTAATGATAAATCTATTAATCAATGTTTAATTTGATGAATATATATCTGCTTGTAATGTCTTCTACAATGTATTTTAATTGTTTTCGCTAATGATTTATTGAAATTCCATTCAAATAGCAGAAGGTACAAAGCAATTATTAACGTAAAACAAAAAAGTTCATGTAGATTGGATAAACTAATTAGTGTTATATCAGGTGATAGTACTCCTATTTAGGTATCTACATCTTATTCCACGTCTAAAGTCTCTAAGAATCCTGATTCCAATCTTCTTCGATTGTCTATGT